AGACAGGGTAAAAGAGACGTTCAACAGATGCCTGCCTGTCCTATGGACATAAGGTCTGAAAGCAAGCCGGCCACCCCAAACTTATGGCTCCCCAGAGTAATCCAGCATGGCCCTGGGTAAGCCTCTGAAACCCCTGGCCTTGATTTCCGGTCACGTGGAGCTCAAGCCACCACTTAGAATGGCGCTTGGCACATACAGAGGCTCAAGGAATGTTAGCTCATGATAGCTGGTACTTCCTACATACCAGGTACTGCTCTGAGCTTTTCACACAGAGGACTGCTTTAATCCTCACAGTAAATACTACCGCTCCCTTTTACAGAGGGGGAAACTGAGGTACATAGCAGTTGAGCCACTTGCCCTCAGTCACACAGTTAATGGATGGAGCTTGGCCTTGGGTCCCCTGCTCATAGCCACACCTCCATGTAGCCAGATTTCACAGTGCTGCCCAACTGGCCTTCTTGAGACAGGCCTGTGGAAGCCCGCAGAAGGTGCTGGAGGTAACCAGGGCTGCCCTGAGGCTGTTGGGTAGCCTTGATCAGTAACCAAGATGAGCACTGTTGGGTCGCCAGTGGGACACTCTGGAGCCTGATGCCGGTGAAACCTACACCCTTTTCCAGGAAGGCAAACCCACCCAGGGTCATTGTTGAGCCAACAGGCACTGTAAGCCGCCTGTAAGCCTGGAGCTGCCTGGAAGGGGTGAGGCCCAGCAACGTGCCACTTCTGCCGAGGCCAGGCAGATTTGCCCTTCTTGCCAGCTTTGGTTTTTTGGTGTTTTGGTTTTTGGGGGAGCTGTTGTTGTTGTCATTGTTTTCGGGGAGGAGAGATGGGACACTTCAAGAGTTTGCTGTTTTGCTTAAAGGATTAATGTTCACTTGTAGCTTCATGTGGGACTTGCAGCCACTCGCTTTCCTCTGCGCTGTCATGTTTTACTGCTCTCTTTCATTTCTCTATGAAGAAACCTGATGAGAATGTTCTAGAAACTGCAGCCTGTGGGTTGGTATGGAGGACACAAGGAAGAGAGCCATTTATTCTCCCTGGCGGCAGGACGACTTAGGTGCCAGAGAAGGCCGCTGGGTATGGGACTGTTGGAGATGTTTTTCCTGCCTCTCTATACACTTATGGGCTTTCCAAATTAGCATAGGTAAAAAGATTGAGAACATTTACAGTGAAAATAGCTAGTATTTATTGAATATTTACTAGAGGCTGACTTTACATGTATTAACTCATTTAACCCTTACAACTACCAGATGAAATGGATATTTTTATTCGTCTTATTTCCAGATTGGGAACTCAAGTGCAGAAAACTAAATAAGGCAATGAAAAATTCAAACTATCAACATTTAAAAAGAGACTGTCAACAAAAAGGAATGACTTACTGATGCCATGACATGGGTGAACCTTAAAAACTTTGTGTTCTGTGAAAGAATTGAGACACAAGAGAGCATGTCTTGTATGTTTCCGGCCATATGAAATGTCCAGAAAAGGCAAACCTATGGAGACAGGAGTAAATTGGCGGTTGCCTGGGGCAGGGGGTGGAAACAGGGAGTAATGGTAAATGGGCACAAGGGATCTTATGGGCAGAGATGAGATATTCTAAAAGTGACTTACAGTAATAGTTGCATAACTTGGTAAATTTACTAAAAACCACTGAAGTGGGTAAATTGTACCCATTTCATCTTACCCACTCCCCGCTCATCTTAAGGAGGCCACAGCACAATGTTCTAGCAATTTCGTTAGTACGTAACACATTCTTGCAATTCAGGTGGAAGTCCCTGCAAGTCCGGGTCCCTTCAAGTCCCGGTCCGACTTTCTCATTTCCTTCAGATTCCTCGGTCTCTGCTCAGCCATCTCCTCCAGGTCAGGTTTTCCTCCCCTGGACCCCCTCCCACATCTCAAGATGGTCTTTTGGGCTTTCTGTCTCCATTAGCTCCCCCAGAGCTCTTTAAGCGCTTGCTCACAATTGTTTCACCAGCATTCGGGCAAGGTCTGTGCCAGAGCCACGACCCAATAAATGATCATGGACTATCTGACTCTTTTCAGTGCCCAGGACAGGGCCAGGTACCCCTACCTACCCACCCTTCCCAGGGTTTCACACCCCAACTCCAAGGCAATTCTTTTAGCAGAACACATTCTTCCTAGAAAAGGCTGCAGGGAACCACTCCCCAGGTGTGGCTTCTTAACTCCTTCTATCGTATAGGCCCCTTGAGCATCTGGTGAAGTCTGTGGACTCCTTCTAGAATAATTTTTATTTTATTATTTTATTTTGTTTTTTAAAAAGATTTTATTTATTTATTTTTAAAGGGAGGGGAAAGGAGGGAGAAAGAGAGGGAAAGAAACGTCAATGTGTGGTTGCCTCTTGTGCAATCCCTCCTGGGGGCCTGGCCTGCAACCCAGGCATGCGCCCTGACTGGGAATCGAACTGGGGACCCTTTGGTTCGCAGGCCGGCACTCAGTTCACGGAGCCACACCAGCCAGAGCTCAGAATAATTTTTAAAAATTGCATTTGGTTTACAACAAAAACAATTTTTACCAAAATACAATTATCAAAGTATTTTAAAACTTTTGTGATATAGTAACATGTGCTTCTTTCTTAATCCATTCAGTAAGATTTAATGGTGAGGCTGATATGATCTTAATTTCAGAACTGTGGCAGGTTAAACAATATTTTGAGATATCTGTAGTAACTGAAGTGTGATATGAAAATATATGTGATTTCTATTAGCGGCAAAAGCACAAGGACTTTGCCTGCATTCAAGATCAAAGGAAAGGCTAAGAAATTCGTGAAAATGAAGATACAACTTCTGTCCATCCCAATGTCATGGACCCCTCAGAATTCCATCCTAAGCCCCGTGGGCGTGTCCATGAACTCCTGCTTTAAGACAAGGGGGTTTTGACTCTTTAGATAAACAAGAAAATCACCAAGAGATGAGAGAACAAAGAGTAAAAAGCAGTGACCACACTGGGTTGGGATAAACAGACAAAGGTTTCGGGACAGGCCAGTTTCGTGCTGAGTATAGTAAAGGTGAGCCTATTTTGGAAGGAAGCAAGGAGCTAAAGGTGGGGGAAAGAAACATGTGGAGGGTTTGCTTTTGTGACTGAATCAAAAACAGCAGATTAACACTATAGTCTTGACCTCACCCTAGAGCAAGCCCATGTCACCTTTGTGTCTCTTTTGTCACTGAGAACACCAAGTCATTGTCCTTGTAAAACATGGTACCTGCCCTCAAGCTTATACACAATGAGACAAAGCACACACAAGAATTAATAACAAGACGAATATTAAATTACAATTCAGAAAATGTGTCCAGAAGAATCTGGAACATGCCACATATCTGGCTAAGTGCACACGGTACAACCCACAGGCCTTCAAAGGTGGGGGGGGCACCTCCCTCTGAGGTTTGAGGTGAGGATCAAAAGGGGAAATGGACGAGAGACCAATAAAGTTGGAAGGACAGTTAGAGCATTCACTTTGGGGCTGCTTGCTGCTCCTCTGGTCTCAGTGACCTCTGTAAAATAGGGATAATAACTAAGTATGGCACCTGACATATGCTAGGCACTCAATAATGGGAGCTATTATTACCACTTAACAAAATGATAGGTGTTTGCAAATTTATTCTAGCGACACCAGATTGGAGAATTTGGTCTTTAGGGTGGTAGACCTGAAAAACAGATTCGAATGAATGAAGGAAAGAAAGCATGAATGAATGAATGAATGAATGCGTCCTCGGATTGGCTCCGCCCTCCAGTCCGGTTCCTTCCCCATGTTGCCCCCTAAGCGGCTCAAAGAAATGGACCCCAGCTCTGGGGTCAGCTACATCTCAGCGCGTGAGTGTGCGACGGTGGGGAGACGGTCCTTCCGGGCGAGAGAGCGACTGCAGCGCAGACTGAACAGGCGGGTGTCATATTCCTGGAGGATGGTCTTCACTCAGTCTCCCCTCCCCCGCTTTCCGGAATCGGCGTGAAGCCTCCGTGCGCTACTGGGACTAAAGGGTTCTGCAGTACCCAGGCGGATCTTGGGGAAAAGCGATCGAGGAGCCTGCCTGGGTCCACCGCGTGGGGAATGTGCAGGCGGAGGAGTGGCCTTATCCTAGGAAGGTCGATCTAGGCCGCCCAGGCTAAAGTGGGGGTGGTGTGCGGATGCACCTTCGGATGCTGTGGTCCCCCAGCTCTTCCAGACGGAGGTCTCCCGCACCTTGTGGGAATTTGGGGTCTAGGGAATTAGGGTGGGAGAGAAGCGGAGCAGAGAATGTGGCAGAGGACGTGAGGAAGAGGGCTATCTACAGGAGGAAACGAGCGCTGCCGAGGCTGCCGGTCCCTTTAAGAGGCCGGGCCGGCTCTGCGGCGGCTCCAGCTAACCGCGTGCCTGGTGCAGTTCTGCAGTCGGAGTCCTCCAGCAAAGAATCAAGAGCCGCGCGGGGGTGCAGCCCGGGAGCAGGGGAGGGGTGGTTCTGTAAAACCTGGGCGGAGCCAGAGCTGCAGGCAGCGGGTCATTGGAGCCGAGAACGCGGCGGAGTCCGGGAGTGGGCAGAGCCAGACTCCGTGGGCGTGGCGGCGCTGAGCGTTTCGGGGGCGGGGCCTCGTGAAGCGCCGCAGGAGGTGCGATGGGCGGGGCTATGCAGGGGGTGGGGCCTGTTTCTGCAGTGGGCGGGGCCCGCCGCAGAGGGGCAGTGCCGGCCAAGAGTCCTCTGCGTGCTGCTGCCGCGGCGCCTCCACACCGTCTCTGACAGCCCCGGCGCCGGTATCCGCTACCCTCACTACGTCGAGCAGCCGCCGCGGCCTCCATCGCAGCCTGAGTCCCGTTCCTTGCCTCCGCGCCCACATCCGGGGACAGTCCGGCTCGCAGTCGCTGCGGAGGCCGCATCTGGTGCGCATCTGGAACCGCCCGGCCGGCCGCGCTGGAGCCCGCGCCCAACCTGGCCCGGCCGCGCCGGGAGCCCTGCCCGGAGCTGGAGCCTCCCCTAGAGCCGCGGGCCCGGGGCCCTGAGCTACGCAGCCGGCGCATGGTGAACTCGTTGCTGTTCGGAGAGATGGCTTTGGCCTTCGGCTGTCCGCCGGGCGGCGGCGGCGGCGGGGGCTGCCCCGGTGGGGGCGGCGGCGGCGGCGGGGCCGGGCCAGGGCCATCGCCAGTGACGGCGGCGCTGCGAGACGACCTGGGCTCCAACATCCACCTCTTGAAGGGGCTCAACGTGCGCTTCCGCTGTTTCCTGGCTAAGGTGCACGAGCTGGAGCGGCGCAACCGGCTGCTAGAGAAGCAGCTGGAGCAACAGCAGAGCGAGCGCGAGCGGCGGCTGCGCTACAGGACATTCACCCGCGAGCAGGCCGTGCAGACCGGGCCTGATCTGCTACGGTCACCCGCGCCGGGCAGTGGGCATAGCATCGGCAGCGGCGCGGCGGCCGGCACCAACGCCAACGCCGTGGCCCTTGGAGGCCTGCCCCCCGGCGGCGGCTCTCACCCGCAGCTCTACGGCCGCCTGCCTGGGACCATCTGGAGCTACACGCAGGTGCGGCGCACGGGCGGCGGCGGCGTGGAGACCGTGCAGGGCCCCGGCGTGTCGTGGGTGCACCCCGACGGCGTGGGCGTGCAGATCGACACCATCACGCCCGAGATCCGCGCGCTCTACAACGTGCTGGCCAAGGTGAAGCGCGAGCGCGACGAGTACAAGCGGAGGTGAGTGCGGCCCCGCCTCTCCCGCCGCGGCTGCGGAATGTGTGCGTTGGGGTGGGGGGCAGGTGGCAGCCAGCTGGTCCTAGCAGGTGGGCTGGAAACTGTTTGCAGAGCACCCTGCACACGCTTGGAACACTCAGTTATCTAGTTCCAAGAATGGGGGCGGGAGCTGACTGCAAGAGGGGACACCTCTAACCCGCCGTTGGACCAGGGCACGTTGTTTTGTAGGTAATAAAATAGCCATCGGTGTTTAATCTCATTTAATTTTCGCGGCAACTCACAGTGTAGTACATTTTAATCACCGTTCTATACGTAGGGAAACTAAGGCACAGAGATGGAAGTGACCTGCCTAAGGTGGCTTGGCTAATAAGTAATGAAGCCAGGATTTGAACCAGTGATTTTTAAGTACCTCCTGGGGCCGTCTGTCTCGGAGCCCTAGGTACTTTCCCGAGGATGTGGAGATGAACTCCCCTCCCTCCGTGGGTGAAAATAATAAAAAAACTCTAACCCACTGACCTTTTGTTCCTTGAATTAAATGAGATTATGTATTTGAGGCTGGATGGATCTCTCCCTACTCTCTGGGGCAGGAGTCTGCCTTCTTGCTGCAGCTCTGTAAGGTCCAGCTGGCTGGGCTAGATAACCAGATCTACATCAGATTGGCCACAAGCTTTTAAAAACACCTCCCTTTATTCCTCTTCCCCATACCCCTCTTGTCACGGTTCATTGGGTCCCAACAAACTCAGCCCTAAAGGCCCACAGGGGGAGGTAACTTTGGACTAAAAGACTGGACATCAAATGGACCCAGACCACCATCTCTGAGTAGAGTGTGGGACAGACTACCTACAGGACTGGCCAATGCATTGCTACCCAGGTGGGAAACTAACATTGTTTCCTGCCTGCAGCCTGGCTGATGATACTGTCTGCTCCACTTTCCCATAAGAGGAGAGGGGCCTGTCTGTAGCATCTCAGGCCTGGGTGGGGGTGGGGCCCGCTGCTCTCCCAGCATGGGCAACTCTGTACTGGGAACCTTGGCTCGGAGCTCCTAGATTTGGATGATGTGCTGAGGAAGGTCTTTCCTTGCACTCCTTGAGTCCTGGTGCTCCCATGAGCTCAGAGGTCTGCCCAGGGAGCTGGGCATGGGCCTCTTTCCTTTTCCTCTACTGGGCAGGATTCAGATCAAATGGCAGCTCCATCACCAGCCAGTGAAATTGTTGAAATACTTGATATCTTGTTTGCTCATCAGAGAAATGGAACAATGATGTTCACTCCGAGTTGCATGGGGGGAGAGTAGGATGGTGATGCTTTTTGGAAGATATAAAATAATCAAGTTGATGTCATTAAAGATGGTAGTCTCTTTGGCAGGCTAGCAGGAAACAGATGCTGGGAGTCTCAGGGCTCTCTCCTGGAGGTCCAGGCTTTCTGGGGGTAAGCCTTCCACCCCACTGTACACTAGCAACTCCTCTGGGCTGATTGTCTCTCTTGAGAGCTCGAGATTGGTCTGGTGCCTCCCCATGGGGAGGCTACCTCTCAGCTCCTTGTGGGCAGCTTCCCTGGGTGGGTGGGGTAGGGGAACAGGCACTTGCTCTTGATGGTGAAACTCCTCGGAGGGATGGGCCTTTCTGTCTGCCACCGTTGATTGTGTGGTCATGCCCCAGGCGTGTGATATGTTTGTTTTATTGTGTGTGTGCTCCTTGGATCTGGCTACTAAGGAGATGGAAAAACCATGCCCAGTCTTAAAGGGAGGTAGGTTGGCATTGAGCAATGCTCTGTTTAAGTTGCACTCAGGGTGTGGGGGGTGATGTCAGCCTCTGGCGCTGGCCTGGAATGAGATGGGTGCTGCTGAGACAGGTGGAGTGCGGGTGTCTCTCTTCCCGCCCTCTGGGACGTGTGTGCCCATTCTCTTCCTATGTTTCTTTTGTGAACTGGGAAGACACATCTTTTCTGAAGTTGATTCAGGGTTCAAGTTGGGTTCTTCCAAAGCAAGTATACTCCCTTACTTGGGCTGAGTTTCCCTATCTGTCAAGGGAGCGGTGGGTGGTATGGTACCTCCAAGCTCCCGGCTTCTTCAGAGATGCCTTTGGGGTTCCTTGAATATTAAATAAAGATTAATATTTAAAAACAAATCAGAATGTTAATATGGTCATAAAAATGTGCTCATTCACTTTTAATTTCTCAATGTTAACTCCTCAAAGGTCACTTACACACAAACTTGTTATTAATGGGACTCAAGTAAAAGCCCCTCTTCCATCTCTGTTTGTCTGAAGAGTATTTTGAGGTTACAAAGCAAACTGCTGAAAACTATTCCCATTTGTAGCTATTCATCTGTGTGAGTCAGGATTTTCTTGATGCTCTGCAGCCAAAACTGGAGATAAAATTAAACGGAATGTGGAACTGTCATCCATGATCCCAATTCTAAATATTAATGGATTAAAATAGCCTCCTCAACCTCAGTGATTGAATTCAGAATAGGTGGCTGTTAAATATTTGAGCCTGCAACATACATTTACACAAGTCACATTCTAGTTTTATTCATTTCTATATTCAGGTTTCTCATAAGAATTTTCTTTTGTGAGGAGGGCAGGCCTATGATCAACTTTTTTAAAAGTTTAAAAAACCACTGGACTAGATGATCTTCCCAGCTTTAACAATAAATCAGTCTGAGTTTGAGCGGCCAGCCCACTCCTGATTTCCTGTCCATAAGAGAAGTCACAGTCTGAGGCATGAAACCAAGGTGTTTGCTGGGCCGTTGGCCTCCGAAGGCCTCAGGTCCTTCCAGGGTGTCTAGCATGGAGCCCCAAGCATTGAGCAATGAAAGGAGCCTGTGCCAGGAAAGGAGAGGTTCCAGGGTTTCCTCTGGGCCACCTGGAGGAACGCACAGCTCGGAGACCACCCTTGCTTCCCCAAAGAGCAACCTCGGATGTGTAGCTCAGTGTTCTCCAATATGGAGACATGTTGGGTTGCACCTCCATGACCTGTGGCCATATCCCTGTACTGCTACCTGTATTACTTCTTATGGAAGATATTTTTAACAGCTTTATTGAGGTATAATTTACATATCATAATATGCTTCATAGTAAGCATAAATAAAATTCAGTGACTTTTAGTAAATCCACAGAGTAGTGCAACCATAGCCGCAATCCAGTTTTAGAACAACTTGCATCACCCCAAAAAGATCCTTCAAGCCCATGTGCAGTTAATCCCCAAACCCACCCCAGCCCAGGATACTCCTGATCTGCTTTCTGTTTCTCTAGATTTGCCTTTTATGGATATTTCATATGAATGGAATCATGCAATATGTAGTCTTTCGTGTCTGGTTTCTTTCACAGACAGAATGTTTTTGAGGCTCATCCATGTTGTAGCGTGTTAACAGCAGTATGTTCCTTTATGTTGCTGAATGATATTCCACTGTATGGATAGACCACATTTGGTTTATCCATTCACTCTGTGCGGTTGATAAAATTTAAATATAAAAGTCACCTGTGTGCCACCTCATGTCATCTCGTGTACCATCCTCAGTGGCGCAGGAATCAGGCTTTGGAAACACCCACCTAAACCAAAGCCCCTCAGGGCCTGGGGTCCCCGGGCCCTGGCCCTGCGCACTCTTGCTCTGGCTCTGCCTTGGTCCAATCAGATCTGAGCTCTTCACTGGGAGGAAAATGTGGTGGCTGAAACTGTAACACCTTGTCGTCAAGCACTGATTTGGAAACCAAAACAAACAATTCTCTGTCCCCACCCAGCGCCACCAACAGATCCTGTTCTGAGTTTGCAGGCTGGGGGGCTTTTCCTGGGAGATTCCTGCCGAATCTCTCTGAACTTTCAAGTGGAGAGTTCTCTGAATAGGCATCCAAGAGACAGGCTCCAGGTCTGGCTCTGCCATGAGGCTGTGTGTAACCTCAGACCAGTTGCCGTTGTTGCAGAGCTTTCGGTCTTCCGCCTTTCCACACGTCAGTGGTCCCTCCCAGCTTGCTTGACACTCCCTGTCTGTGACTTGAAGGGGTCTGGGTCAGGGCTGCTCTTCCTGCCTCCTGCGGGGACGGTCTGGGCCTCGTCCTCGCCTGACCCAGGTCCCGTGTGGTTTGGAGTCCAGTGGTTTTGTCCCCTCCCCCTGCAGGTCGCCAAGTGTCTGTCCCCCTGACTCAAGTCAGCATGAAGGGTTGAGTTTGTTTCCCCCTGGTGCCTGTGGTGATTGGGGCTGCATTTGAGAGCAAGGAGGGACCATGGTCATTTAGTCTGGGGGTTTTCAGCTAGGCCCTTTGGAACCCTGGGGTCCAGAGCAGGGTGCTTGGGGGTTGTTCTGAGGACACTGGGAGGCTGAGCACCTGGGATCCGGCCCTCTTCAGCCACAGCAGCTCCATTTCCATGACTCTCAGATTGGTATTCTGAGCAAGAGCAACTAGAAAACAGGGTTGTGCAGTTAAGGGGGCTGGGGGGTGGGAGGAGAACAAAAGAAATCACAGATTCAGTTGAGCTGGGGACACTGAGGCCCGGAAGGGACTGGCCCTCAAAGCTGAGTGGGCAGTCCTCCTGTCTGCCGTGGGGAACTGTCTGCACCGGCCCCCAGTGATGCCACCATCGACCTGAGCCGGGGCTTGGCGGAGTGTTCGCCACCTTCTTGTGTGTCTGCCACCTTTTTGTGTGTCTGCCACCTTTTTGTGTGTCTGCCTTTAAGCATTTTTTGAAAAGCCACTTTCAGGAATGGGAGGAACTTTTGTCACAGCTATTTCTGATTGTGAACCGGAAGGGGCCGGGCTGTCAGCCTGAATGGACGGCTCCGAAAAGGGGGCGCCCTTCCTTCCTATTACACCCTGGGAGACCCCGGGCAGGGGCGCGTTGTCCCCTGACCGCCCCAGAGCTGGAATCCCGACTCTGAAACCTGACCAGAGGGCTTTGTTTGCTGTCATTTCCCTGGATGCTGGGATCCTTTCTGAAGCTGCCACTGATGTGGAGGCTTTTTTTCACTCTGACACCCTGTGTGACTCTGGGCAATTGCTTGGCTTCTCTGA